GAAATGTGTCATGTTACACATCTTAAAATAAAGTAGAGAAATGTGTCATGTTACACATCTTAAAATAAAGTAGAGAAATGTGTTATGTTACTTGTCTTAAAATAAAGTAGAGAAATGTGTTATGTTACTTGTCTTAAAATAAAGTTGAGAAATGTGTTGTTACTCATCTTAAAATAAAGTAGAGAAATGTGTTGTTACTCATCTTAAAATAAAGTAGAGAAATGTGTTATGTTACACATCTTAAAATAAAGTAGAGAAATGTGTTATGTTACACATCTTAAAATAAAGTAGAGAAATGTGTTATGTTACACATCCTAAAATAAAGTAGAGAAATGTGTTATGTTACACATCCTAAAATAAAGTAGAGAAATGTGTTATGTTACACGTCTTAAAATAAAGTTGACAAATGTGTTATGTTACACGTCTTAAAATAAAGTAGAGAAATGTGTCATTACTCGTCTTAAAATAAAGTTGACAAATGTGTTGTTACACGTCTTAAAATAAAGTTGAGAAATGTGTTATGTTACACGTTTTAAAATAAAGTTGAGAATTAAACTCGAAATTTATTTGATACAAATAAAATGAAATATATTAAGCTAAAATACTAGAGTATCAACTACTAGATTAGTCTTAGCAAAATTGTAACTTTTTTTTGGAGTAGGAGAGGATCCATTAGCAGACATGACAGACACAAGCGACATTAACTCAGTCGCGGGAGTGTTAAAGCTGTATCTGCGAGAACTACGCGAACCCTTATTTCCAATTTTCTTCTTCGATCAGCTGGTGGAAATAAGCCGTAAGTATGAATTTTCTTGCCAGTTTGGGGTTTTAATGAAACCTAGCCAGATTAGTTAATGTGATGTCTGTTACAGTAGATATGATGCATGTATATATCTAACATAAATTATTTGATATTTCCTTTATATTCAGATTTATCCAGCACCTGTGTGTGTATACTATAAAAACAGAAAAATTATAATTTATTCTATAAAAAGTTCAACCTTCTTTCAATTTGTTAGGATTTTCATAAACAATTAGAAAACACAAGTTTTATTCTAGTCTTGCAGCAGACAATACTTTTGAGTGTCTAATAAAGAAAATAACGTTCTAGAAGTGTGTATTTCTGTGTGTGTGGGCTTCAAGCATGCTGCACTTTCAGTATAGCTTGGATGTAATTGGTCAGTTGTAGATAATAGTATCGGTCAGCATAACACAATTCTCTTTTTTTATCTGACTAGGTCATAGCCATATGTTTTATACATATTAAGTTTGGTTTGTGCGTTAACTGAAATTACCTTTTTTACATTATAGCCTTAGTTATGTTAACCCTTGATGAAATGTGACGTGAGAGATCAAAATTAGAAACATTATATACTTCAAGCTTCTTTCATGTTAAAGTAAGGAAAGTTTTACTGAACATGTACAATGTACGGAAAGTTTTACTGAACAGAGGAAAGTTTTACTGAACATGTACAATGTACGGAAAGTTTTACTGAACATAGGAAAGTTTTACTGAACATAGGAAAGTTTTACTGAACGTAAGGAAAGTTTTACTGAACGTAAGGAAAGTTTTACTGAAGGTTAGTGAAATTATAGCATTAACCAGCATTTAATCTATCATTTCAGGGGTTGAATTTAAATCTGAGTTCATCAGTAAGGTTAGAGATGTTGTGGCCAGTCTCCCACGATCAGTTTTTGTTGTTCTTCGCTACCTGTTTGCGTTCTTAAATCAGTAAGTTTTATATTTTTTTTTACAGCTTACAAAAGTAAAGAAGTGAGTTAATAAAAACATCACTTTTCATAAGAGAATCAGTAATAATAACTTGGCTTGTTTAAAGAATTTATTTCAAAGATTAATTCAGTTCATAGTTATAGTATGTAATGGTTTAAACTGTGTAATTTCTCTGTTTTTTTTCAAGTGTCTAAGCTCGGGATGTTTATTTCTTATTATAAACTAACTAGTATATTTTTTTGTGGTTTTATTTGTCTGAATTCAGTATATTCACTTTAGCCATCACCTGTTGGTACACCTGTACGCAGTATATTTATTTTGGATTATGGTTTGTATTCAATTTCTTCATTTAAGATAATAGATTATTCTGTTGTTACATCTGTACTTAGGATTATCTTGTATAATGTCATGGTTTTGTGTATTATTCAATCTTGATTATTGTCTGTGAGAGGTAATTTATTTATTTTTTACTGTTAGCGTTTCGGAATTTAGCGATGAAAACATGATGGACCCACATAACTTAGCTACTTGCTTTGGTCCGTCTATGCTGCCAATACCTGAGGACAAAAACCAGGTCCAGAATCAAAACTTATTCAATGAACTTATTAAGAACATTATTGTCTACCAGGAAGAGATCTTTCCCAACGATGGTGGGATGGTCTACGAGAAGTACATCAGTCTCGACGTCCCATATGAAAAGTAGGTTCTGTTTCATTCGTCACAAACGGGGAAATCTTTCTGATGGGAAATTAAAGCTTGATATCTTAAGAGCATATTGTTTATTATCTACCAACCTGGCTGCAGGTGGCCAAATAAGATTACACTGTGAAAAAATTAAAACATTTTTATACAGTTCACTTAAACAAATCTTAAGTTTTGAATTTTTTTAGCAGATAGAGCACTTAGATCATTAATGTTCACTAAATTACTTTTTAAGGAATTCCTCTGAACTGACTGATAAAATATTAATGTACTAGGACAGTGGCTTCCAATACAGATGTATTTTGATACTATTTCTATTCTGTAATACAATTTTATATAAATGCATGTATTTAGTTTTATGTAATGTTCATGAACAAGCTAGTAATAATAAACGTTTTAACTGTTGTAAAGGTTTTTTTATCAATACTTGTTGCAACTTTAACTATTGATGGTAAGTGTATTTATCAATATAAATTTGGTTTCTGTTGAGAGTAAGTATTACACAGGCATACAAAGTTTGGAAGGATTATATTATCCAGTTATTGTTAACCCTTACAATCCTTTTATTGAAAAACAACTAATATCTACAAATGTGCAACCCCCCCCCCCCTCATGATGCTAAAAAATGAAAAAAAACAGCTAATATCTACAAATGTGCACCCCCCCACCCCCCAGTAAGTCTGCAGGCTCATGATGCTAAAAAATGGAATCTGATACCAATGGTGGGCAGAGTATTTTATAGTTTTGTGCTTAACAACAAATCGACCAATATCAACGAATGCTTAGGTTGATAATTTGTCTAAAACTAAAGTTTATTTAATTATAATGAAAGACAGAAGAGGGTCTTAGAACATTTCCTGAATGAATGTAGACGTTATTTATGATTTCAGGTTTTACAATTTTGACCAAAAAAAATCATTCTTTTCCAGAATGTACAGAGAAAAGTCGTGTATTATATTTCATCGTTGATGATAAGCCTAAAAGTATGTTGTTGGTTTTTATTTGAAATTACAGTTTTGTTTTTTGTTTTTTCATGGTTAGTGATGTCGGCGAGTCTCCAGTTGACCAATGCTCCGACGATCTCGATACGTTGGATAGTTCTGAAGCAGAGATTCTTGCTAGTGAAGATGGTGAGGACGTTAATTTCTTGTTAAAAACATGAGTTTTTGATTACACTGAAAAAAACCTGAAGTATTTTTTGAGTAAATAGTTTTGATTTTGAAAATATAATAATGAAATTCTGTTTTTTGACATAGATACCATCTTTTTAGAGAGAAATAGAGGACTAATGTACAACAAAACGATTAAAATTAATCTTCTGACAAATACAGGGTTAAAATTAAAAATTGTCTGTTAAGTAGAATCCTAACTGATAGCAGATAACCTAAGATTTTAACTAAGTTGCTTGAACATTCTCTAAGGATAAATACAAATAACTTGTTGTTATAGATGTAATTCCCCAATAATGATAGGGTTAAAATGGGAATTTTAACTTGTATATAGTTTTGGTATTTAACTTTGGAAGAAAGTTGATTTTGTTTTTAATTTCATTTGGCAGAGTTAGGTATATCATAAAAAAAACTTTTTACATCATAGAAACATCAGTTACATTAACATTCAAGTTTATCGAGATGCTCTTTAAAGTACCCATATATCAGTCACAAGCTTGTTGTTAAGCAGGAGTTTTCCACTGTGTACGGTGAGGACACTGATAGGTGACTGCTTGTTGTTAAGCACCAGTATTCCACTGTATACAGTGAGGACACTGATAGGTGACTGCTTGTTGTTAAGCGCCAGTATTCCACTGTGTACGGTGAGGACACTGATAGGTGGGTGCTTGTTGTTAAGTGCCAGTATTCCACTGTGTACAGTGAGGACACTGATAGGTGACTGCTTGTTGTTAAGCACCAGTATTCCACTGTGTACGGTGAGAACACTGATAGGTGACTGCTTGTTGTTAAGCGCCAGTATTCCACTGTGTACAGTGAGGACACTGATAGGTGACTGCTTGTTGTTAAGTGCCACTTTTCCACTCTATACAGTGAGAACACTGATAGGTGACTACTTGTTGTTAAGCGCCAGTATTCCACTGTGTACAGTGAGGACACTGATAGGTGACTGCTTGTTGTTAAGTACCAGTATTCCACTGTGTACAGTGAGAACACTGATAGGTGACTGCTTGTTGTTAAGCACCAGTATTCCACTGTGTACAGTGATTGATGACACCTTGACTTTTAATAATTAGATACATTTCATTAGTATTGATTGCCTGTTAACAGTGAGATACTGTGGATCCAAGTGCTTATTACCAACAGTTGCTGTCAAAACAAGTGCTTGTTACCTAGATACCAACAGATGTAATTAAAGTGACATTTGAACATAAAACGTAATAAGGAAGATTTATCAAAATAAATACATATTTAATACACAAAATAATTATGATAAAGTAAGAGTTAATTTTAAAGAATATAGTTGTTGCTAATGGGGACAAAATAACCATTTGCAAGGTCCCTTGTGGGACAATGGTAAGTTTATGGACACACAATAGAAAAATCCTGGATTCAATTCCTAATGGTGGAAACAAACACAACCATTTACAATAGTTAAGGTGATGTGTTATTTGCTATATTAAAATTAGGGAATAGAATTGAGGCTATCTTATTTATAATATATGAATGCTAAACTTCTTGATTGTGGCCGGTACAGTCATGCCTCAATTGTTTGTGTCATTCTTTTATGTTTCCAGGCACTTAATGTAATGTGTCATACCTCAACTGTTTGTGTCATTCTTTTATGTTTCCAGGCACTTAATGTAACATGTCATACCTCAACTGTTTGTGTCATTCTTTTATGTTTCCAGGCACTTAATGTAACATGTCATACCTCAACTGTTTGTGTCATTCTGTTATATTTCCAGGCACATAATGTAATGTGTCATACCTCAGCTGTTTGTGTCATTCTGTTATGTTTCCAAGCACTTAATGTAACATGTCATGCCTCAATTGTTTGTGTCACTTTATGTAACATGTCATGCCTCAACTGTTTGTGTCACTTAATGTAACATGTCATGCCTCAACTGTTTGTGTCATTCTTTTATGTTTCCAGGCACTTAATGTAATGTGTCATACCTCAACTGTTTGTGTCATTCTTTTATGTTTCCAGGCACTTAATGTAACATGTCTTACCTCAACTGTTTGTGTCATTCTTTTATGTTTCCAGGCACTTAATGTAATGTGTCATACCTCAATTGTTTGTGTCACTTAATGTAACATGTCTTACCTCAACTGTTTGTGTCATTCTTTTATGTTTCCAGGCACTTAATGTAACATGTCATACCTCAATTGTTTGTGTCATTCTTTTATGTTTCCCGGCACTTAATGTAACATGTCATGCCTCAACTGTTTGTGTCATTCTTTTATGTTTCCAGGCACTTAATGTAACATGTCATGCCTCAATTGTTTGTGTCACTTTATGTAACATGTCATGCCTCAACTGTTTGTGTCATTCTTTTATGTTTCCAGGCACTTAATGTAATGTGTGTGTGTGTCTTACCTCAGCTGTTTGTGTCATTCTTTTCTGTTTCCAGACACTTAATGTAACGTGTGTCATTTGTAGAAATTATTCATTAATTCCTGATCTACAGATATAAACTAATTAAGTATTTCATCAATTAACAACCAAATGATTTTCATGTAGTAGAGACATTCTTTGCACCGTGTTAAGCTGTTTGTCTGTTAGTGATTTATTATTTTTTAAAGTTTTCAGTGCTGACCAAAAGATGGAAACCATTTTTGATAAAGACAAAAACCTTCAGCTAAATGTTGAGTAGAATATAAAAAAAAACAGCAACATTTATCTGAAGTTGTTGTCTTTGTCAAAAATGTTAGTGATTTATCAACAAAAATATACTTAACTACAACATTCAAATGGTTATATCTTAACATTACTTTTTCCTTCTGTGAGCTAGTTGAAAAGATAACCACTAGGGTTTCATGAATATAATTCATCCTCAATTTATAAAACCAACAAGATGCATTTGAAGAAAACGTTCCCAGTACATATTATCATCTACAACCTTAGGACAATTAAACATTGATATTAATTAGAAGGAACTACACCTTCATAGTATTTGTGAAACTTCCGGACTTCTATTCCTTGTTATTAGGTGTATGTGGAAAGTTTCAACTGTAAAAATACAAGTATTGAATTGTTTCATGTTTTCTGAGTGTTAGTTAACAATTTTAAATAGTGTTATTGTATTACCTGTAGAATATGAAATTCTAGAGGGTGTGGCACAGCAGACGTTCTGTGGTCGAACGGATCGTGAACTCTCCTTTAAAGAGGGTGACGTTTTGCAGTTGTACTCCCAAGTTTCTAACAAGTGGTGGAAAGGGAGTTTGAATGGGAGAGAAGGACTTGTGCCGGACAATTCATCTTTCTCAAACTGAAGTAAGATTTGGTTTTTATTTCCTCTACAACGTTTTTCAGAAGAATCATTTACAAATACAAAGAACTGTAAGTTTAAATCTGTTAAGAAACTTTACTGAGTTAGGGGGAATCACCCTATTTACAGTTTGGAAAACACTGTTTTATGATACAACATTTTTATCCCACGAGTTGCTGAGACAGGTTTGTCAAGAATGAAGAAAAGCCCCTAGTCATCTACTCTGATTTACTAAGTTGCTGATCGAATGTTAATGCCATTAAATCAGACTTTAGCATTGCTTAGTGAAACCTTTTGAAACTTTGCTGTATCATGTTAGTGATGTCTTTTTCTTGGATAATAAAAGAAGTCGTACACTGATAAACATGGGAACTTTACTTGATTATTTATCAATGTTACAGAAATTGTTAAAACCAGGTTCAGGACAATCTATCAGTATAGTGTGTGTTGCCATATGATTTAACTGTTTAGACATTTATAATGGACAATTTTGAGTGTAATAATCTTGTGAGTTGAAAGTACTTTCTGTCTGTGTTAGGGATGAAGATAGAGAGAAAGTCGGTCGTGATGGTAGTGAAAGACATGCAAGTAGCAGCAGCGATTCCCTGTCGGGCTATAGTGCCAGCCCCAAGCCTTCCGTTGACATACATATACCCGAAGAAGAGACGTTAGGATCCGACACGTTCTTTCCAGATTCACTGTCCACGTTACCTTCGAGCTCAACGTCCAGCTCTGGGATTGGTTCTTTGCATTCCCTAAACATAAACTGCCGGCGAAGACTCAGCCTCAGCCCTTCCACTCTACGCAAAGTTCAGCTTTCTGCTTCTGTCGAGTTTAATCAACCCAAACTGGTTCATTCGAGCAGTGTAGGAAAGGCAATGGAAGACCTAGCAAAAGATGAAAACCTACTAATGACTAAAGACTTGTGTTTCCATGGTCATGAAAAGGAAGAGAATTACACTAATGGGCAAGTGAAAGACTTTAGCCATAACCTTACTTGTGCCTCATCAAATGTTGAGTCTGCTAAAGGTAAAGTAGTAGAATTAGCTGGAACTAATTCTGGAGATTATTCAGAAGTAATTCTCCTTTCATCTAGCAAAGGTACCCCAGACCTTGTTAGGGATCTTCCATATAATCCATGTGGACTTGATTTACCCTTGGAAAAGTGTTCAGAGGAAGAGAAGGAAAGTCCAACCTCTCAGTCCCTCATCAATAGTCCAGAATTGACCACAGCAGAAAGATTTGCCCTTTCACATCAAGGCACTCTTAAGAAAGGTAGTTCTCGACCTGGGCTAAAGTCAACCTTGCCGGTCAAGGTTTGGACAAAAACTCAAAATGGTCAGGAATCTAGTTCAAGTAAAGTGTTCACAGTGGTTTCCCAAATAGAAGATCAGATGAAGCCCACACCCGAAGTCCCTCGGAGTTTTAAACAGGAGGTGGAAATCCAGGGACATTCCCTCAATTCATTAGGTGACCATAGTTCAGAAGTTATACATTCAAGAGGTGTTTCACATATCAAGCTTTTGCCCAAAGTGAAGCCCCCTGTAATGAAGAAGCCAACACTTCCTTCTCAACCAGTGAGATTTCCAGAGAGAGAATACAAGTGAACTTTGTTAAACACCGAGTTGGAAAAAAAACTGTTCAAAGAACAACCTATACAAATAGTTCGAGCATATCACGTGCGTATTTCTGGAAATTTATGGTGAACGAACGGAGAAGAAAAAAAGGATCTAGCTACTGAAATAAGTTAATTTTTGTTTCTGTAAAACAAATTGGAGGAAATAAAGGAACAAACTGTTGAAATAAGTGTTGGTTTTATTTCTAAGAATTGGAAAAACACATGGGGTTGAGATTATTACGTGTTCGTGGAAAGTCAGATTCGAGACTATATCTGTCCTCCCATAATATATCAGATTGATCTCAAAATAATCTGTTGTTTTAATATTTGATTTCTTCTCTTGCAGTTAAACTGTGGCAGAACCAACAGTCGTAAAATGGTTCCGTTAGTACGACTTACTGTGATTAAAGATGTTTGTACATAACACTTTCATCGTAATCTTTAGGAAAAAACAAAGTTTGTATCTTCAGAATGTTTATTACTTCCTAAAAATCCATCTTGAGTAAATTACTTTTTCAAAAAGAATTATATGACATTCTATAAATTACAAACATTTTGAGAGATGAATCTAATGAGAATTGAAAATATACCTGTAGTTTTTAACCATTTTGTATGTGATTTACACTTCTCTCAATCAAACATTTACGAACTACTAAGTTATAATGTCTTGATAATGCTATATCATGTTATTTTTTTTAATAGATTATGTATTTTAATGAAATTATTATTTTGATAGAATGTACCTTGTTAATTGAAATGTTTCAGAAGTTGTATGTACTCAACTTACCATAATATCCAACTCATTAGTGTGTGCTTGCATCTTTTATTTACCATCTAGGAGGCTATTTTCTTTATGAATTTTTTTTTAATATTAAAGTTTTTGTCTTTATAACTTTGAAGTATAAAGTACTGTATTATAGATATGTTTGTACAGAATTTTGCAGAAGATGTTATGTTACAATATCCAATTTGTATTGTCTGCATGCAGAAAAAGGTTATATATGTGAATTTTAATTTTTTTTTTCTTTATGTAAAACTCGTCAGTGACATTAAATTCCACTTCCAATAGTTTTTGTATCTTTAATGTGTTTGGTATAGAAGTGCAACACCTGCAGTTCATGTTTTATTGTTTAGTGTTTCAAATACGAAGATACATAGTTTGTAACACCCGCATTTCATGTTTTATTGTTTAGTGTTTCGAATACCAAGATACATAGTTTGTAACACCCACATTTCATGTTTTATTGTTTAGTGTTTCGAATACCAAGATACATAGTTTGTAACACCCGCATTTCATGTTTTATTGTTTAGTGTTTCGAATACCAAGATACATAGTTTGTAACACCCTGCAACACCCGCAGTTCACGTTTTATTGTTTAGTGTTTAAAATACCAAGATACATAGTTTGTTGAGGTGGGTGGAACAGTGAGACATAAGTTTTATTCCAGTAGTAACTTGTCTCATTAATAACTCTTCCACTTACTGTAAGATATATATTAGAAACTTAAAATGTTTGTCTAAAAAATGAAACGCATTGTTTACCATCCACTGAGGAGGGAATCTTTTAAATTACTTTGTGTTTATTCTTTCAATGGACTTCACGTTTTATGTGATCCAGTAATCTGGATTATTAAGTTACTCTGTGCTACAGTAACTTTTATTTTGGGTTGAAGTTGTTTTTTTTAGGGATAAATCTTGTAACCTTCTATGTTTTGGGACATACAAAATTTCACATAAGTACAAAAAAGATTACTTGAAAGAGGAAGCTAAATAACACAAGTTACTCAAAGTTTGAGTCTGTGAAAGTTAAAATAGTTTTGTTCGTTTAAAAAAACAAACTCGTATAACACAATAGAAGTGAGATTTAACAAATCTTTATTAACAGAACTAATACACGTTTTGAGAGAAACTGATGTTTGGCCTCTACAACAGTTGCATAAAATTAATTACTTCAAAGTTAGGCTGCTTTTTCTATATATATATATATATATATATATTACACTAGAATCTCAACTGGGAACAGTTTATCAAAAATTAAAGACATTTAAAATATACTACATGTTCCAGAGTATTTTGGAGTTGGCCGGTAGTGAAAAAAAAGGTTAAAACC